ACAACAGTATAAAAAGTGCACCAAACCTTACCAATAACATTTATAACAAGGCGAAAATATTCGTTCAGAAATGAGTATGCATTCGTCTCAAGAACGAATCAGAGTAAAGAAATCAAACTACAACAGAATTAGAATTATAATACAAAAAACTTCAAAGTTACTTATTAAACGGAAGAAATAATTAACATAATATAGAGAGCTAGGTGAACAAAATGTCTAATAATCAATAAAATAAAAAATTAAATGTTAGCTATAATTAATAAGTAGGTGTATGTATTTAGAATTGTTGTTTAAATCAGAACAATGTAAGATAGTTAGAGAAGATATAAAAAGGAAGAGCATATGTTCAATATTGTCTTTGTTCCAGATTATTTTCAACGCTATTGAAACAATGATAGAACCGATTATAACTGAAGAGAATTTTAGAAGACAACGAAAAGTTCATAACATTTGAAAAATAATAAAGTTATGTAAAAATATATTTATAATTGTGTCAGTGACAGCAACATGCAGGTTTTAAAACTCAATGATGTAACTGTAATTATTTTAGCGCTAATATCGCACAAAATCAACTATTAAATCATTTCATACTTTTGATTGATTCGTATCGTCATATTACCCATCTGATTGGAAGAAATCTGAAATAGTACTGCGTGTTTAAAAAAAACTTGTTAATTTCCTTGCGTATGTTTTTATGTAAAATTTGCTCTTAACCTATAGCTGAGTATTGAAAATGAGAAATACTACCTTCTTTTCACACAGGACTCTGGCTATGAGAGAAATCTTTGATTTTATTAGATGTATTAAAAATTCGAGAAAAAAACAATGAAAGCTTTTCTATCTTAATCATGAACATCGTTCCGTTAGATTGACGTATTTCTTTCAAAAGATTAATCTATTTCGAAGTTTTTGTAAAAATAAATAGTGTCACAGTGATGAAAGAAATAAAGAATGATTATTTGTCAATTTGGAATGCTCTTTTGATAGAAATACGTTCGTAATCATAGGTTGTTATGTTTCTATCGGGAGAAAATGTATTTCATTATTTAAAGCTTCATTTTTTAGTTGAATAACCAGATCTAATCATACGATACAAATCGTTAAAATATTTCCATCTTTGAGTCATCAATATGTCTCAAAGATATTATTTGTGTCTACTTTATCCTTCTCCAAATGATTTCCAAAATTATTCCACATTATTTACGCACATGCACAATCAAAACCAAAAATAATTGCCTTTCAGCATCCGGTTTGAATTATGTGTATTATTTTGTGAATCTCGTTATTCTTCTTTTGATAGTTATCGATGCCACATCTACCGTTGCCGCCTTATTCTAATCGATTCGTTTGATAATAATAATATTGTCTCATCGAATATTGATGATATTTTGGATGAATTGGAAGATGGATTTTTTTTATTCTACTTGTAATAATCAATCAGATTATATTGCTGATTCTGAGTTCTTTATTTATCCAGATGCAGAACTTACTGAAACAGTCCATATATTTCTTAACTTCGATCCAATTTTCTTTCCTTTTATTGATCAAAAACTCAATTTCAACAGACTTGCACGTTTTTATATTCGTTTTCTTCTCGAACTTAGTGAATATTATCTTCTTCCTCAGAAAGTCGTGCAATCCATGTCATCTAACATCTGTACTTTATTTAATATGATTGTTAAATCGATTAAAACCAAAGCATTATAATCCTTCATGCCTATTATTTAATGTCAACAGTATTTTGACTATTAACCATCATCTGAAATTGTATTAAATACAACTGAAGAACATGCTTTTTATATCCAATTCAAACAAAGCATTTCTTATATGCTTCACAATGGCGAACTGTGGCAAGCTGTAATTGATAATATTAGTTCCTAGCAATTCGGTCAGATAAACACGAAGATCTAGTTTTATGCAATTGACAATGTCGATCAGTTAAATCAAATATTTCTCGTCAGACAAACTCAAATGCTTCATTACTTAAATTATACTGAATGAAATAACAATCCAGAATCTAATAGAGCACAAAAAAGATTTACTCAAGTTTACTGCTATAAGTGCTTTATTAAAAAAAGCTATTCAACAACTTCTTTGGATTTATGCAGAAATTGAACAGCGCACATCATCTTTATTTTATGAACTTCATGGTTCATTGAATAATTTTCCACCAGTCAAGAAGCAACAACTAACTTATTCGAATATTATTGGCTTTGCCAGTCATAAATTAGGTCTGTTCTGAGTATTTCCGATCGTATTTCACGATATCATTGATTATCTCATCCTACTCTTGTTATATACTATTTTAGGTGAAATTATCAGTTACATCTATGCTAATCCAATTAGAAAATCATGGTTACCATATCTATACATGAACTATGTAAACACTTTCATTCTCTTATGATCGAATGTTTGCCTGACTATGTTAGACCAAAAGCTCATTTCCTAACTGAATATTATAGTTTTATTGAAAAATATGAACTGTCAATGTTGAATTCATACATACGTTCTGAAGCTAGACACTTATATTCCAAGCAATTTGCTATTCGTACATTTAACTTTAAAAATTCGCTGTTGACTATCTGGAAACGCCATCAATTACGTCATTGTTTGTTAATCGATTCAAACTCATTCTCTTAGTCATCATCCATGATAATTGGATCGTCTAAATCAATTGAATGGTTTAAACGTTCTCTCCATGTTCGACGTTTTTTGATGGAGTGCGTTAATCAAACTGATTCTATACGTGAATGTGTTTCGATTTATTACCATCATATCAATATTAGACGAAAAGCAGCAATTATCCATCACCTTGTACATATCAAAGAAATTCCTGTATTCTGCCAGATTCATCATTTGTCAAACACCAAGGAAAAATCGATTACCGTAGTTGAATACTTAAATACGGTTTATTCTACGATAAATTATGGTCGTATGAAGTTGAGTCTACAGGAACGTTGGTCAAAATAAATATAGAACAATATTTTGATATTTTACCACATTGTCCTCATACTTATGTAGTTGAACAAGTACACTATATAAATATATTAACTCATCTAATAAAACAATATAAAGAATATTCTTCTGTCTGATATTCATATGGAACGGAGAGAAAGATTCAATTGGATAAGGTTGTTGTCTAGTACATAGTGATGTTGTTCTTTGTTATCTGGCTAGTCTTTTAACTAAAAAATCTATTTCTGTGTTTTAGAGGAAGATATTGATGGTGTAACGTCGGTTTTACTTCAACACAATGATATTATCCATATATTTCCTCGAACTCAAGATTGTGTAGAATTTATTGATGTGCGCATGACATTAATCTCAAAATTAAATGAATAACATGAAAATGGTGATGAAACTACAGGCAATTTATTTGAAGTAGCATTATCATCATCATCATTGAAGTCTCATGATGATAATGATGAGGTTTATACTAAAGCAATGTTGTGTGTAGATTATGAAGGTCCACAGTTAGCTACAAGAATGCAATAATACATTGATGATAATAATATTTGAAAATTTAATTATCGCTTCTCTTTGATGATGTAACCAAATCACGTCAGCTGCTGTCAGTCATTATTTGCAATAACATTTTCCATATTTTCTTTTTTTCTGAATTTAGTTATTCAACTAATGATAAGTATATGACTATGACCAAATGAATAGTAAAGAAATTATTTATTCTTCCATTAATAGTGTACCAAACTATAGTAAGAAAAAACAAATGACTTGTTTGAATATTTTTTTCTTTTTTCTATAAAGATTGGCACGAATCGATAAAACAAAAGTTTAAACATGACCACAAGCCATCCCAAATGAGTAATAATTTTGTGGGAGTTAAACAAACGGAAGATGAAAAAAAAGTGCGATTATACAAATTGAACGTTGAATTAATAATATTGTGTGACTTTATATGATACATTATATCATTTTTGTAGCCAATGATCAATTTAACTTATCAACAAAATGAAAATTTGTTATCCATAGTTAATCAAATGGAGATGGAATCAATTACTTAAAGATGATCTTAATAATGATATGCTTCATAATTCTTGGAGACAATAATTTAATATTCGTCGCTTATGCATTCGTGAACTAACAATAGATGAAGTACTCAAGCGTTTTACTGATTATCGTCGTCCAGCAATGGTAAGAGCTGTCGATCATAATTTGCTAAAAATGTTTTTCTTTCTATACAAGCTAATATGCAGACAATCAATTTTTCGTAGAAGATAACTAATATTTTTTTCATAATATCAGTGTGAAGACCTTAAGTAACCTTTCTTCGACTTGTTTTCACAAATACGATAAGCACTGCCTATTCATCTTTAAAACAATAAAAACAGTTTATTCTAAATTTGTATTAAAACGGCTTGTTTTAATGAGTAAGAGTCTTTTTGTTGACAATATCTCGTGACTTTAATCAAGTTACACCTTAAAAGAATATTTTAATATTTTTTAGCTAAAGATAGTTGTCCCTCATAATGTTCTTAAGACAATAGCTAATTTTTGGAAAATTTTTCTATTCATTGACATTATCATTGAAAGTAATTGTATACTCTCATTGTAAAAATCAGCATCAATATATTTTTATGAAACAATTCTACCAAATAATGTGTTAAACTGTCGTTTCAGGCAAAGTTTTCAAAGAAAGTTAAAATATTATATCTTTTGTCTCATTTTAGCTATTTAACTCATTCGAATTATTCATATAGTGTGCAAATTGTTTGCTAATTCAGTTGGTAATATTTTTACGTGTGATATCAACTATCTGGTCATTTTTTGATTATAAAATATATTTTTCAACTTTATACGTAGGATACATTTGTATCTTATCCATATATGAAAATTCTTGATGATAAATTTGAGTTCTATCTTGACTTCCATCTCGTCGCCGAAACTACCTCATGTTCAACAGCTCTTGCTCTGCTTCTATCATCTCACATTATCTTAATAAAGCACTCAAATGCTTTGTCAACAATGGAAAATATAAAATTATGAATCGACCACTCATCAAACGACAAGCAGTAGTTACGAATCTGGTGAAAAATTTTACTCAATCTTCAATTATGAATGAAACCATCTGATCTCCATCTAACATTTCATATCAGATAAGTTTCTTAATCTAATTTAGTAGTAAGAAAAACATTTCAAGATTGTAATTTTAGCGGGATATTAATAGTATATTTTCTCATGTAAATATCTAGGCATAAATCGGAGTTAGGAGGCACATTAACTATGTGTCTCCTTATGGATAGAAATCATTGAAAAAAAGATATATTGTATGATTTAAAAAGTTTTTTGAGAAAGAGTATGAGATCTTCCAAAATAATTTCTTTCAATATTCTTTCTTTTCAAAATTTTTTCACAATATCACATTTTTATAAGGCATTTACAAAATGGATTCTCTAACGTTCTTGAGTGTACAATATGAGTAGTTAGTTAAGTCGTTTAATTTGAAAAAGAAAAACCCAAATTTTGAGATTTTGTTTTATTATCATATAATGCACAATTGAGATTTATGTTTGCTATTTTGTTTTAGATTGTTGATGCATCACTTAAACAATCTCACCATGATCAATCTTCTTCACTCAATATTAATCAAGAATTCGTTAATGAATCTGAAGATGATGATGAATATAATTATAATCATTTATCAATTACTTCTCTGTCAGTTTGTACATCTCAAACTAACTCGCTAATCATTCTTCAAAATGAATCAATAGTAGAATTGACTATCGATAAATCCTGCTATAATTCGAATTTCACAGGATCAAATGAAATTTCTTCTTCTGAAAAATTATCATTGACACAACAACATGAAGATGAACCTGATACAACTAAAGAAGACGAAGAATCTTGTTCAATTGTTAAACAAAAACGTACGAAGCATTAGAGTTCGTCGTCATCCATCACCATATCAAAACAATCCGTGAGGATTTTAGCTAAATGAGTTTGGGTAAAATCAATTATATTTGATGGACGACATTTGTTTATTTTCTTCCTACTTTCTGCACGTAATTATCGTTCCTAAGTTTTGTCATTGATTTTATATCTTATATTTTTTTAATATATCTATATGATACCAAAGAAGAAAGAAATTTTTTTATTTTTAAAAGAAAAATTTTCAATACAAGTGTTATTTTATACATCTAACCTAGGAATTCGAAGTTTTAAAATAGTGGTGAATATTCATGCAAAACCACATTCATTAGCCTGATCGACTCAATCTCATGTTTCATCGATCAAAAAAATATGATGGACCATATTCTTTCTATCTTTTCGAAAGAGTAATAAGTATTACATTTAAATACCCAGTACATTTTTTTTCAGTTAGGTCAACCCAAACAACGGGTTCGCAATCTTTTTTTTCATAAACGAGAATAAAAATGGTGTTCCTTCTAAACATTCAATACAAAACCTTGTCTTCGAAACCTATTTTTCAGTCTGGTGAAAAGCTTTGGTATTATAATTCTGCTACGAAAAGTTTTTCAACTGTTTGAAACGGGTTTAGTATGATACGTCTTTTTTCTACCAAACCTGTTTTTTGAGTATAGACCAGGAGCACTTCAAAGCTATCGCACACATATTTATTGTGTACAAAGCAGAAAAGAAAAAGAAAAATATCATCATTTCATTCGGAGGTGTACACATTAACACTGTCAAAAAATATATTTCTCGATATCTATTAATGATCATCCTTATCCATGACAAACATAAGTCATTCGACACAGTCAGACAAGGTAGAATAATAACTCAACAGAGATACGCACGTGACTATATATATTGAATCGTAATTAAAGAGACAAACTTCGATCAGCCATGACTAGTATGACAGTATGCGTTCGCTCATGACGAAATGAAATAATATTTCATTCTATTACACAATCAAATGACAGCATAAGGTAATACATGACGGTTAAAAACGATAATAAATCTAGTCAATCTGCTCTTTTTTCTAGAATCGCTTGTATCAGTGAGCTACAGTGGTTGAAGTATATTAATATTTCTTAACAGAGACTTTCCGTGAAGGTAATTCAATTACTATTCTTGTGCTTTCTCTTCTAATATTTTATACTAAAGATTTTTGGTACACAAGATACAAGACGACAATGTTATGTGCTACTCTTAGTAGACTTGTTCTAAGGACAAAGCATAGGTTCGTATATGTAGAACATAATCTTTTTTTTATTTTCTTTAAATCAAAGAATCACTTCTATCAGTATATAGAGACTCATATTTATATATAACACCAAAAGAGAAGAAAGAGAGAAAGAAAAGATGAACATATAGATATAGTATAGACGGCATATCACAACAGATAAGACTAGGGAATCCTATTCTATCATGATTTAACTCAAGGAATCATTCTGCGTATAAGCTGAGCTCATGAGAACGATAAAACATAATCCCGACAAAAGTTTTTGAGCCTAGCATCTTAAAAATCTGTTGAATTTTCGATTTAATCTTCTCAATATTTTTCTAGAACGGCACCGATCATTCAGCGCATTTCCTTGCTGTTGCTTATAGGATGGTGTTTGATGGTTTTAATCAGTCTCATATTCGTGGTTTTGCCAAGGCAAGATGATGATCGTAGCATTTTAGTTGATAATTCAGGTATAAAAAGAGATAACTGGAATCTTGCTATTTGGTTTTACTGTTTAAGTTTCGGCCTTTTTCACTATCAACTATAATTCGACAATACGAAGCAACGGTTCGCTAGTTGTTTCAGATTTGCAAGGACTTGCAGAACAGGTAAAGGCATAAATATTGGTTTGAATGAATTTGATTAGATCTTTTTATTTAAAGATCGCCAAAGCATATAGCTTGTCTATTAATATAATTCGCGTGCACTCGGCTATATTTGTACAAAGCCTCATTGTGACCAAACAAAAACGACAAACGTAGGTACTTTTCTATATCTTAAACTTTCTAATATTCAAGTATATCTTATTATACTACTAATTCATCCAATCCTATAGCTATTCATGAATTTTTTCAGAAAATATCAACAGTTGTTTTTTTTGCTTCTTAGTTTTATGAAAACACAGGAAGCGTATTCAAAAAAGATTTCACGTAGTCATCAGCCAATGTGTCATAAGATACGTTTTTTGTTTTGATCTTTCATGTCAAGTTTGAAAAATCGTTGTGTGTACATGCCAAACCGATAAGATTACAGCTTACGCTTATTCAATCGTGTCTTATGTATACTACAAAATTGAAAACTTGTTGTAAACTACATAGTATTCATTGGTGTGAATTTAGCACTTTTTGTATCGAATCGGAGAGACAATCAGAATAAAATGATACTTTGTAAATTCTCGATCACCTTGTTTTTCAGTGTTTTTTAGAGTCAAAGTGTCGGAACTATTGTGATTTATATAGACGCATACATATTCTCAAAGTCCGTAGCAAACTATATCTTTTAGATATGAATCAAAGAAGTGTCTAGATCCAAGCTAAGATTTGTAGTATGAATATGACAACCACATACTTCATACAAAGAATGCAATTTTCATCTATACTACTGTCCATTTTTGATCTTTGTGGAACAGGATTAGGCAAAATCAAATGTCTGTTTTTTCAGTTACTGAAATTCAATCGCATAAACATCATGAAACTTTTTCAAAGAATCTTTTAGGAGCATCGTAGTGGTTGCGTTTAGAAAACCTAGAACGAAACGTAGAGGCCATGTGCAACCGTGTTTTAGCGTATTACATAAACCAATATTACAATCATATATTTTTGTGTTCGATCACCATCGTACAGCACTCTCAACGTTAGGAATTATGGTGTGAAAATTTTCTAGATTTTATATTGACTGAAGGAAATCTTGATGGATACAGTGTTTTGTAAGTCGTTTTTTTTATTCTCTTCAGAAAATCTTTACAGTTTCGTATTTTCTCAGTGAAACATATCTCAGTTACTTGTTTCTCTTCAGAATCTATCGACCAAAAAGAAACGAGTGTTTTTTAATTTTGCTAGTTTTTATGAAACTTCGTTATAGGTTATCAGCGTTCAAGGACTCGAATTTGAGATCGAGTTTCGAAAACTGTTGTATATCGATTGTGTTTGTAGTGTGCTTGTATGCTCTCGTGGCTTTTGAACCTGAAAGTGGGAGACATTTCGAGGAATGTCTTTTCTTTGGATTTATTGAAAACGTTTTTCGATCATTCTACCAGATAACAAAATTCACTAAGTACTATGCTTTAGATACATTAGAATGGGGTTAGTTGTTGCGACTCTAATTAAAATGTAACAAACTGCATTATGTTGAAAGTAATGGTCTGTAATATGTACCATGATATTTTGCTTTTCTCTACACTTTACTAAACAATAACAGTGTTATGAGTGTCGAGTGAGAACGAGAATGTGCCTTTGGTTGAGGATAGGGATGATGGTGTAGATGAAGAGGATATTCAGAGCGACACTGGACATTCACAACCTTAAGTCCAGTCTTTTCCAGTTCTGGCATTAAAATTGTCAATGATTTTTACTTCCTCTCACTAAATTGCATCGTGTGAAATCCTCCTATATTATTAAAATGGCTTTCAAACTTTCTTTCAAATGTGTTTTCCATCCATAATCCTGCATGCGAAGAAAGAAAAGATATTTTATCCGTTTCACTTCTCGAAACTCCTTTTAAGTTTTGTATCGTACTTTTCCTCTCTTTCAGCGTAACTTTTGTAAATGTATGAGAAGATTTTTGACTATTTTTCCGACTCGTCCATTTAAAAAATCTGACATAACAAAGGAATTGGCATACATACTCGAAAGACTGTTAAAATCTATTACGAGATGATAAAAAATTGTTGTAGATTTTATGACATACTTTATTTTGTTTTAGCGTATCAGACAACGATTGGCTGGTACACGAAAATGGCGATCTGTTTGTAGTTACGTGCGAAGTTGCATACCCCATCAAATGCGGTGGTTTAAAAACATGTAACGATCGGTTCATTTCTATTGTGTTCAGAACGATTAGATCTGGTCCACCAGAATTATATTTCTCTATATCATTTACCATAGGCCTCACATTAAATGTCAGACTCATATTTATATCAATAAACGAGACAATCGTGACAACGCCAATAAGCATCATAACAACAAGTAGTGCGTATTTACTCTTTACTTGTACTAGAGAAGGCTCTTGCTTTATTTGAATAAGGTGCATTAACGTACAACTGGCACCGGTGTAGAACTTTTTATTTTTTCCACCTATCCCCCACTCAAAGAAAAACTAATCTGACGTAATATTTATTTTTTTCATAGCTCCTTACGTTTCAACCGATATTCTAAGTCTAGAGCTCATTATTGCATATATCCGCAGTTGAAGATATATATATATCCACATCTAATTTGTTTTCCGGTGCTACAGATTGTGATAATTTAAGCAAAACATCTCAGTGTTAATAGTAGAAAACAGAAAAATAATGTGGTGCATGCGTCGTAAAACACGATACTCCCTACGACATGTTGTATTGCGATACATACTTTCGACTACAGTATGTTTCACATTGTTACTACGACAAGTTTTTGTAGAACATCAAGCACTGTCCAGCGATTGAAGAATAAAGAGTGTCTATATATTCTCATTTGATTTTATTTTTACATTCACTTGTCAGATTGACGTATCTATATGCTGACAGTATTGTGTGAACTTTCAGAAAACAAATATTTAAATAATTAGTCAAACTTTTAGCAGTGCTGTATAAGGCTACAGAATATAACTATGAATCAAAATTAATTGTGAGATATACTCCTTTATTGAGAGATCCCTTCCCTCACATGTTACCATAATAAAACATCTCTACTTTTTAAATTTTGGTGTTTGTTGAAGATGGAAGTTGTGTGACATTTATAGCTACTTGGAAAGTAAAAGATGTTTTAGAATAC